TTCATATGACCCGATACAGTCTTTAAAATAGTTATAAAGTAGTAACCCCAGTAACGTCGGTGGAAATATAGAGAGGGGTCATTCATATTGAGTACTGAAAATCCAGATAAAAAGTTTCCCCACAGACACTGTTTCTAACTCGGAACTATTGTAATTTGTATTCAAAGTCTCAGATAATCTCAGAACAACAAATGCTAAGATAGGGAACATGTACATTCTACTGAAATATTATTACATAAACAGCACATATTTTATGTATCCTCTACAGCATGATATCCATTCAAATTAGTTTTAATGAAGCCTATTCTTGAAATTCTCCTAAAGACACGTGTTGTCTCCAAATACTCATATGTGAAGATGTGTCACACTGATACTTTATAAAAACCTCTGAAACTCTGGTAGTTGGAAATCTGCACATTACAAAGTTTGTTTCCATTATGATTTAGAATAAACCCCAAATATTAGTTATCTACCGCAACACTAAGTTTAAAATAAATATTTCAAAGGGACACAATTTCTCTCCTCAACTTTATATTTTGACTCCGTTTCATAACCTGTCAGTAGCACACGTGCACAGCACATGACCTAACACAGCTGAAATATTTAATTATTTAAAAATAGAACAAAGGCAGCTGCTAGTTACTACTGATCAAAACATTTTTTATAGATCAGAATGGCTCTGTGTGTGCTGTAACGCAATAGTTTGACACAGATAAACATATTGCAACGGTGACATATTACACCATAGACAGGAGAGACTTTGATGTAGGAAGTAAACGTTTTGGTCAGTACTAAGTAGAATCTACCCATAGCTATTCTGATAATTCAGTTTTGCACTATAGCATTAGGTAGAAGCAGTACTTAAATACCAACAGGTTATAAAATACTGCAGATGTATCCTTTCCTCATTAAATCAAAACTCTCCTACGTTTTTGTAGTGCGTAACATTTTATTGGCAACTCAGAAAATAAGTAAGACCATTCAGGAAAAACATCTTAGAAAATATTGCACACTTCTGTCATACAGGCCCAGTTATGACTGACACAGGGAACAGCCAGATACCCTCGACCATAAACAGCAATTAGTCTTTAACTAGAACAAGTTTAACAATTCCTTTGCTTTTTTTCCTCTTTTTTTTCCGCCTCCTTTTTGAAAGGAGAAAAGGATTTATAAGTCTCGACTGAAAGAGAAGAAAAATGTTGAAGCTGATGTTGATGGCAGAGAAAGCAGGTAAGGAAATCTGCCTAACTGTCTTGGGAGAAAAGAGAATGAGACTTCCTTTTTGATGAGTTTACAGTCTTTAGATCTGCAAGCATGAAAATGGCAAACAATTTGTAAAGTTACACAGTTCCCAGACTGTGAGGACAGAAAGACAGGAACCTACAGCAGGGTACCCCTATCTGATATGAAAAGTTGAGAAAAGTCAGTTTCAGAAACAGAATAAGAACTGAAACGGAATCCCTTCTTCCAAAACTGGACTTGAGATAAAATGAAACATTGAAGGATAAGCTGGTAATTTATCCAAGTCCAGAAACCTCAGAGCTAGGTATCAAATCTCTCTTACAGCAAGAAACACCCAAAAAGAACTAAGTGACCCTAGCTCTCCTAGCTGGAGAGCACCAAGCCAGCCTGCCAATCAGACTGAGTTCGCACTCACTCAGTGTAAATTCGATACTGCAAGACTGAGGATTAGTCCATTTCTACTGCACTAACAACCTTTCAGCCTTTCTCTTGTTCCATACTTTAAAAGTAACATCCCCTCCCAAAAAAGAAAAAGTCACTTAATCACACACTGTCCCAAGACCAAGTGGATCACGCTTTTAAAAAAGTGACCTGCTTTAGTGAACATGAAACAAACTCAATTTCCATGGTCCGCAGGACAAAGTCTGATCATAGTTCAGACTTGGAGAACGTATGAAGCTTCAAATGCTACAAAAGAGAGGACAGACTCTTCCTTTTTACCTGAGCTCCTCCACTACCTCCATTGAACAACACAGAGCATGAAGAACTTATAAACCAAAAGAAGAAGAAAACATCCCAGAACCAAGTCAATTTAGTCTTCCCATCAGAATCTCTTACGGCTAACCTTCCTGCCCACATTCTGATCTAGAACCCTTGCTCTACACCCAAGATAATTATTTTTTGTTTCAAGTGATCTGATGGGTTGTGAGGGGGCACATATGCCAAGAGGGGCTACGTTCCAAGCAAAGTTTCAAACTTCAAATAAACCACCTACAATATTTTACTCATGAATACATATACAGACAGTACTTCTAAAAATATGTGTGTGCTGAAGACTTTGTTGCCAGCAGCAGGCTGAAATGATCCTGAAATAGCTGCACTGACTTTATAACATGCATTTGAGGCTCCATGACAGGTATAGCTTTTCTAGAATGGAATCTTTCTGTGTTTTCAAAATCAGATGCTTTTCATACTCATCTTTTCACCCCTTCTGTTTAAAATTTGGATAGTAAATATAAGGCAAACTGACATGTAAGCACTGTTAGCTAAAATTGTTTGAGAAATCAAGGCTCATTTACCAAAAGGTGAATAATTAAATTAGAAAACTATCTCATTATTTTTTCTTTGTCTGTTTTGTAAACCAGGATTTTTGTGGTGGTTTTACTTTTTATCTACAGAATAAAAACTGCACAAAACCTAAGCAGGCACAATCACAGATGCCAGAGGGAGGAAAGATTTAAAGCGAAAACACACATCCAGTTTACTATGAAAGACAGAGGAGGTAAAATGAAGAGGAAGTAGCTCTGAAATTGGGTTAAGTTAGTAAGACTCCAGAAAGAGCAGCTGAAATTTCACACACAAGACAATCACACAGGAATGTCTATGAGGAAATGAAGAATCAAGCTGAAGTACATAACCAGTATATTCAAAAAGCATCAAGGTGAAAATAAATGACAATGTGACAATGACTTAAGACACAAGCAAAAGCAAGCAGAGATGATCACTCACTTTCTCAAGTCAATCACAGACTAAAACGTGCTGCTGCTTTAAAGAGGGAAGCCAGAGGAGAGTAGGATAAATAAGAAAAAAGCAAGTGAGTTTGGAAAACAAGATTAAGTGAAATCTGATAAAGGTGCAGAGAAGGACAGCAGCTAAAATCTTTCTGCATCTTTGGCAGTGGAAAAGCAGAAAGTTGAAGGTACACAGAAAGAGTCAAGACCAAATTTTAATGGGAAAAGCAACAAGGAAAATGCAATAAGAAAGTGACTTGAGGAGTGGATCGATGTTTGCAGAAAAATAGCTTTTTATCAAAAGGATTTGGTTAAAATAGTAATGTAGATCTGTTTAACACAGAGGAAAACAACACTTCTTGGAAGGGAGAATGAACATGTCCTGAAACAGCCACTCCTATGAATATTGCCAGTCACGCTGCGTACTGTGAAAACAGGAGTAGAGGAAAGTGCACGCCAGGTCAAGCCAAGGCTGGACATTAGCAACGTAAGCCTTGTAGTTAGAGGGAGGAGAAAAAGAAAGCAAGACAGGGAATTAACTATATCGATGGGAAAAAAACCAGCTGGGCAGAGACAGATAACTAATAGTAAACAAGACTGCTCCAACAGTTGCTGATCTGGAAGCTGGAAGAGAGCTAAGTAATGAGGCAGGAAAGCAAAACCAGCTGAGCAGCATCGAGTGAGAAAATGAGATAGTGAGAAAGAGCACATCCAGTTAGCAAGAGAAATATCAGAGAAAAAGTAAAGCTAACAGTCCCACTGGCAAATGAAAAGATCAACTCAAATTTTACAATTAATACCCAGCTCTTTCCTTCTATTCAAGAAGTAAAACCAAACAGTTCCTTCTGCTTTCAAATGTCCATTTAAACTAGTCAGTCTCCATAAATCGACAACCTAGTGGAGATGAAAATACTAAGTTTGTTTTGGAAAGGATACTTCTCTTGAAAAGCATAAAGATGCTTAATGAAACCAAGAATTACATTTCTACCTCATGCAAAACACCAGCGTTAAATAGCATTACAACAGATGCAGCTGTGGGATATGGCACTTGCAATGCTTACAGACTAGCTCAGCTGAGTATTGCGATTCATTATTGATAGAACGGTCCAACACCACAAAAGAATTAATAATTTGTATCCATTATTATTTTATGTACTAATATTCTGATCAAAAAACATTTTTAAATTGTAATAAAGAGACAATAATAAAAGTATAAGCAAAATTGCACTTATATGATGTTAAAGTCTTTTTTTAGAGTAATACATTTTCCAATCTAATCTTTTTCATGTTTTCCATGCTCAGGTTTGTACGGCTGATCAGGAATATTTTATCATTGAAATGCTACCACAACCTTTCACTATTCAGCATCAGCTATGTATTAGAAATTACTTCATCACCAATGCTACACCTGGTAGTTTACAATTTAGTAGCATAAATAATAAAAACTTTCCCAGCACTTAACAACATCTGATAGCTTTTGGCTCCTCCTAACAGCTTGAAATCCAAATTACAATACATCTTTTTAAAAGAAATCTGAAACAACTAGATTAGTAGAGAGTAAGCTTGATGCAGTGGTTGTTTTAGAGCCCTGTACACTAGCTGATGATTGAAAAATAAGAGTAGTATTAACTTTTAATAAGATGTTGAACATAACTGGACTCATGGCACTACACATTTTCTGAACTGAGTGACTGCAGCAGCAGACTCAACTGTGAAATTTGCTGATACACAAAAGCAAGTTTTGGAAATGCCAGTTAGATAATATTATGATTGTGCACTTATAATAAATGCATACACATTTCACCTCATTTTCCTGTGGTAGAGATTATTACTTAAGATGAGAAAACAGAAGTTTTACATAACTGACAACTCATTCATTAGCAAAATGTTTATAGCAATACTGAAAAGCTGATTTTTGTTTAAACACCAAGCAAGCATGGACATATGAATATTCCTAACCTGTAAAATGATTCCTCCACATTATATCAGCGAAACTCATTGGTGGGCCACTGGGAGGGTAGTGTTTACCTTTCAGAGGCTCATGATCAGTCCTTATCATATCCATTAAGGAATTTTCCAAAGAGTGCAAGTTAAAAGTGTCATAGGGCCTATTCCGGTCCTGGAAGGAAAAGAAAAGAAAAAAAAAAGGGAAAGAAAGACTGTTATAGAAAAAAAACATTTTCTAAGACAGGCTCATTTCTTATTTTATAAAACTCTAGCATCCAGTTTTACATTTCTTCTTGACAGTACTTTTCATATTACAAAAAAATTTTATAAATATAAGCCTACAGCTGTTAAAATGACACCTTTCATTTTGCAGCTGCTGCTTTCACCAGTACAGCTATGCAGAGAAGCCTTTAAATACTTCTAAAAATATACGTAGCAATAATAATTAATTCTAAAAATATCCTTTAAGTAAGAACTTTGAAATAAAGCGATATTAATGTTTACACTGGAGAAGTGAAATCGCTTCAGAGATTTTTGTTTTACAGCTTCATCATGTGCCTCCTGTCACAGCGCTACCTTAACATCAGAGCAGAAGCAAGCAATGCTCAAGGTGCCAGCAGGCACATTTGTTCCAGAAAGTAGCAAGTCATTCTTCAAACGCCTACCACGAACCTCACAGGTGTAAGGGAAGTGCACTAGATGCACGACTAAACAAAAAGCAAGATAGGATATGAAACACTTTCAGACTAGGGCACACAAAAACCTGAGTAAGAGTTGGTTTGTATTGTTTGAATCTCTCATTTTTAATTCACTGTAGTTCTGCTTCTATTTAAGTAAGTAAAAGAGAAAAAGAAAAAAACAAACCAAAACAACCTTCAGCAGGCCTATTAAAATAACTAGTTTCACAGTTCAGGAACAATCTTACAGAGGGAGCAGTCTACTCATGTTCATGTCTCGAACACTGTACGTAACGAGACAGCATCACAGAACAGTGCCCTTGCAGCCAGTTAGTTTCCAATGATATTAATTTTCTTATTCTCATCACTATCATAAAAAAGGAAAGCACAGGTATGTAAGAGATAGCAGTTTTGCTTTGTATACTATATTAAGCCACAGTCAATAAGAAGTGGTATAACATTCTACTGTGAAAACTGAAGCCTTCATTGTAATACACCCCCAAAATTCCTGAAACAATGTTCTTCACATGCTGGTTACTACAAGGTAATCTTCTTGTTTGAAGGAATAAAATTTAAAATCCTCAGACAAGAAGCAACAGTAGCCATAGAAAATGTAACACAAGTTTTGTCCCAGTAATTTCTCTTGAACTCTCTTTTTCTTAGTTTGTCTTTAAATAAAACTAAAGGAGAGAATGAGTCCACTGGTATAATTAAACTTTAATATTCCTGTTACAGAAGTCAAATAAATACACATTATGAAAAGTTTGCTGTTACAGAAAGCTCTGAAATACAAATCTTCCTACTGTCAAAAGTGTTTGCACAGTCTACCTACTCTGCACTGAATAGCCAACTTTCCTTCTCCGACATGCTAATTTTGTATTTTCTCTAAGTGGACTAGCATTATTTTCTTCACACATTTATTTAATCTATTGAGCATTTTTTGGCAGTCAAACATGATGTCCAAAGAATAAGACTTGATTTCTGTTAGAAGCTACGCTAAGCAGTGAAGTTCAAATGAGCTCACTGATTTTCAGCATTCACTGTTGATGATTTTTGTCTTCTACAACTACTTAGAATGCCAACATCTGTATACTGTATTTAAAAGAGTAATTGTTCACCTATCCAAATGGATCAACACATATAGAACATAAAATAAAATTTATGCCCAGAAAATCTAAAATATATCTTGGAAATAGAAAACAAAAACAAACAAACAAACAAAAACAAACCAGAAAAACCCAAATCAAAATAAACAAACAAACTAAAAATCCCTGAGGTTTTGCTGGTTTTCTTCCTAACAGAAAACTTTATTTTGGTTAAAACAACCTTCTGCCTGGTAATATGCAGTAGGAGGGAATAGTTTGTTTTATTTCATAGTCACTTTCTTTAAAGAAGCACAAGGTGAGATTGAAAAGTGTAACTTGGACGTAAAAAAAGAAAATCCATTCTTGTGGTATACTAGTAACTTGATTAAATAGGATCTATATTATACCCGCGGAACAAGAATTTTAGTCGTCTTTTTCTATTTGTTTCTTTAAAATATCTTTTAAGTAATGTGAATGTGTAAGGAGGTCATGTGTTACAGTACTGAGCTATGGCATCTTTCAGAAGATAAAACAGAAAAGCAAGCATACAGCTGATATCCTAAATAGGGGTGGGGAAGTATTTTTCAGTTCATCAGGCAGATGAACTTCAGATCTGGTTTACTGTACAGCTGTAGCAGAGCTGAGCTGGCAAAACCAACACTGGAAGGAAAGCGAAAGCACAAGACTGCTGCTCTTTCCACAGTGGTAGTTCATTCTAGCTTTAAACATTACAGAGATTACAGTCTTAGAGGCCAGAAGGAGCAAGTTCAGAAGAGGACACAGCCTACAAATGTCATTTAGTTATCCTTTATTAACATATGTTAGATTTTAAGTATGCTACTATAGCAGCAAATCCCTGGGAGGTCCTACTTTGTTCTTCAGCTTTCCAAGGAGCTGTGCACATGGACACACATGAAAAAAGAGGAGGAAAAAAACAGCACCAAAGGCAAGACTACACAGTGCAGGTTTGCTACAAAGTAGGCTCTTTCTAACCTTTTAAGGATTGTGCAAACCTGTAATAGGTTTTCAAGACGAAACTGGACCTACACCGGACACAGGAAGATCAATTTAATCAAAACGCTTTACCTAGGCAATTATAACACTTCTCACTATAGTACTTGAGCAAGCCAAATCAAGCAAAGGAGATCTAGACACAACAGATTTTACAAGTACGCCGTGGCATATACATAAGTATAACGCATGCCGACTACAGATTTTGTAGTGCTGGTGATAAAACAAACAAGTCAGGGCTAGCACTCTAGCTCCTAAGTAAAAGGGCTACTGCCATTTTTCTTAACAGCTTCCATTTCAGTAGTAACTCATTTGTACTCAGCAGTTTTGAGGAGTGTTTCCTAAGTTCAGCAATTTCTCCTGGTGCTTCTGCACACACATGTGCAGGATGATGTTTCCTTATTTCTAAGCATGAACAGGTTCTCCTGGTTTTGGGAGCTGATACTGTTCCATCTCCTGGATTTGCCTTTTGCATTGTTTCCATAAGCTGACGATCTACCGCCAAACAATCCCAACAGCAGAAGCAATTCAGAAAGATCCTTAGTAGCACATGAGAACTTTGTAATGAAGTTCTGGGACTAGGACCATGAATAGGAATCAAAATATAAACTACAGAATGATAAAACAGAATAAAAAACTCGGAAAAACATTTTGAAAATCCAGCAAGTCCAGAAAATCTGCTGGGATCTTTCAGAGAAGACAAAGATCCTAAGATCTACTTAGCTAAACTACATTATGGACAAAAGAGAAATCTCCAGCTACAAGGCACTGCCTTTGGCTACACAGCAATCGTTACGCTAGCAAAAGATTAAGTCCAGCCTGCCCTTGCTGGATTGTACTTTTGCTGTGTACAGACAGAAGCTCCTTCCGTGTCGGCGTCTGTGGCAGCATATTTCAGTTCTTACAATACTCTAGCCTTGAAAGAAAGAAAAACAGCTTAGTAATAACAACTCTTAGAGAAGATATGGGTCCCAGAACTTTAAATCCCAGCCCTTGGCTGTCATAGATCATTCATGACATAGACTTCCTCAAAGTGTATATATGTTAAGCATAGTGAAAAATTACAAATGCACATACAAGATAAGACTTCTGAAATCTCTTAATTGAAATGGACCTCCAGCTGAAGTTGGGTCTCAACTTTCTACCTTTAAGCATTTTACTTGCAAGGCTGATTAAAAAGGTCACAAAATACAGTGTCTAAAATCTGTCTGATAATTAAAAATACCAACCAAACAGTAACTTTGCCAAAAAAGTATCTGCAGAGTCAAGACAATGAAATAAAATGAGAAAATGCAGCAATTTGCATTTTACCTCCATTTTACACTTTCGTGCATTTGTATTACACTAGTCTTTAATTACACAACCACAATAATTTTTCAGAGGTCTCCAGTCTCCAACCGATATGCATAATGAACCAGCTCCAGAAATTAATCAAAACAGTGCTTTGAAGAGGTCTATTTCTCTCTAGGACAGACGCCTGCGTTGCTTATTCCAGGAGATGGCTGAGGTGTAATCAGTGTGTCAGCAAATTCCAAGAGGGAAAAAGACACTCTTAAAGTTAAGGATTATCTTAATTATAAAACAAAGATTACTTAGAACTACCTGAAGTCTGTAACTGATGTGCACGTGTATCATCTGAAATCAGAATAACTTTTTCCCTTTGTCATACTCTGTAAAGTGGTGAGCTTTGTCCTGCCCCCATTAGACTCAAGAGCATGGGCATGTAAGGGCAAGGCATACCTAGCACCACTTCACTTCCTTCCCAGTAGATACACAAACCATATCTTTACTGGCACGAGGGAAAGGTAAAGAATGAGAAAAGAATATATGACTACATTATGGATGACAAAGCCAAGACAAGATCTAAAGCTGGGGCCATAATAGGTGTTAAGTGGACATTAATACAGCCTGGCTTCCTCACCACCTCTTCCAGCTTGAACAGGTAACCCAAAGTAATTGGAACAAATGAACTAAAAAAGGAAATGACCAACATAGTCCATGACAGAGACTTGGAGAACATGCACCTTGCTCCAGAAACTGAAGCTGCATCTGTCTTCTGTCTCTCCAGAGGATTATGGCAGTGGAGACACTTGACCTTTAGTTGATTAACCTACAGTCACAAAGTGAAAAGTTTTACCCTGAGGTGTGTCAGGAATCTAACACATGTTGCCCAAGCCTATCTATCATCCATACTCAAAATCCTTAACCATGCATTTATGCATGTGTTTTATGCATGTGTTGAACGCTTATTAGCATGGTCATATGTATCTGTAGCATAAAATACACATTGAGCTGAGAGATACACCTGATCTGCCCATTTTTCAGTATTCAAGCAGCAAAATCTCAGGTACCTGGAGTCTTCCAAAGACAACATTTCCCTGTGTCTGTATATTTCAGTC